AAGGAATTTTGAGTGTGAGAGAAGGATTTCGACTAAGTCGTGTTCGGCCATTGTTGACAAATGAAACGAAACTATGCACGTCAAGATCAATATGTCCACATTATAATGGCACTTAAACTCTTTCATATACATAGTAGCCAGAGATTTGTAGTAGGTAGTCATAAAGTAGGTAGCCAGACGGGCTACAAACATAGCAGTCTTTATAGCAGAGATATGAAGCGTGTTTCCCTCGAGATTCGCAACTTTATTAAACCGGTTCATCACAACCAGGCCTGAACAAATCCGCAATTTCAACCGTTTTGACAGGTACTATTTCGATTGTGTCGGTCACTTTGTCCTGTACATGGTTCGGCAAAAATCATTGTCCATTTTGGGACAAGGAACCTTAAACCGATCGTCTTTTAACTTTTTGAGAGCAATCGTGCATGTTGACACATGAGATTGACTAAAATAATTATTTCGCAAAGAATCGAAGGATTGCATAATACCACGCATTGGTGTTGCGAGTTTCTCGCGAGAAACTCGCGATATCGAGTCCAGAATGCGAGTGGCGATGAAGCGTGGCGCCATTGTAACAAACTAAAGTATAGTCATAGTTATTATTTGAGCATTTGGACTTATTCATTTTTATAGAGATAGACATGATTTATTGATTTCATGACCTCATTCACTAACTTGACCACTTGAGTTCAATTATTTGTTTCTAAATTTTCTATAAATATAAATAAATAAATAAATGTTCCCAGTACTAGCACTTAATTTCTTCAACTGCAGCACTAGCTAGTTTAGCTACATGCCTACATATGACTTTTGCGTGTCCTATTTACTATTAGCCACTATTATTTTAGTAATTAGTATGGAACCAAATATACCGATGCTTGTTTTTGTGACCGATACATTTTATTTTGTGACAGGCACAATTTCATTGATGCTGGTCATTGTGACAGGCAGGGCACAAAAAATTATATTCAGGCCTATCACAACAATAAATAAACACTGAATATATAAACTAAACTTACAGATATAATCCCTTTATTTACTGAAAATTTCGGGCAAAACACTTTAAAGACATGTCTTTGAGTAGCCTGCTCGCAGCATTGAAGAACATTTTGTTAAACAACCACCTCATTTTACAAAAGAACTTGAAAGACACATCTTTGAGTAGCCTAGCTGCTCGCAACATTGAAGAATTTTTTTTTTGAACAACCCCCTCATTTTACAAAGAACTGGAATACTTAATGAGCCACCTGGAAATCAGACATGCATCTCCCGAAACAACAGATCGAGTTCGGTCGACTATTCACAACAACCATGTATGGCAATAACGCTTTAGTCATATCTACTAATATACACACCAGTGTGTAGTATAAAGGCGGCGAACTGCAATAATAATATATGTTACTGACTGGAAAGTTTGGAAATTTCGCGCCGGAGATTTCAAAAATTCAATAGTAAATATATTGAAGCATCAAAATTGCGCGCCCAATATCTGCGACGCGCGATACAAACTTTAAATATATAAAATATATTATGTACAAATTATCCACTTCCCTCGATTCTCGATAACATAACAGTGAAACGTCGTGATAACTGTACTTTTAGTGAATTCTTAAAATACTTCTTTCAAAAACCCCAAAAGGAAAGCCACGACTGGACCAAATAGTCAATAGCGAACTTTTGCACGCTATTCCATGATCGCCATTTTGATTTTGATTTCGTACGAATTTCGTAATTAAAATGACGTAATTTGTCATTTTGTGCCCACCGACTAATTATGTTTTGTAGGGGATTTCCGCTGCGGTGAAAATTGCATGCATTATATGTCACCATCTGTAGTAGATACAACGTTTCAAAAAAAGCTGTACATCATGAAATTTTTGGTATAGACCAATTTGAGAATGCAAATTTCAATTCTGGGCTACACTTTTGGCAAATATGGAGATGAAAAATTTATTACGCGAACATATTATATATACATGTTTGTTTATACGGTTATCTTATTAAGTCGTATCAAAATACACATTTCGTTTAGAATCATTGCCAAAGAAGATATAATAGTAAATACAACAAATTTCCTGAAAGCTTTAAGAAATATGTCGTTAAATCAAAACAAATATTTTTAAAAGTAATGACATTATTATTATTTGCAATTGTCCATTCACATATTGTGCAACGTTGCATATTGTGTTTATTTATACTTACTACGTTTTAAATTCTTTAGTAATTACTACAACGATATTTGATCAGATTTCAGGAAGATACAAACGTAACACAAAATGCCACATTCCCCAGAATCGAACAACCTCAGCGCGGTATGGTATGATCTAAAAGGTTATTAAATACATTTGTGGGATATAAGATTAAGATATATAATTATGAGAGAAGTTGTTTGAGACCAGTTGTTTGAGGCCCGTTGTTTGAGAGCCGTTGTTTGAGACCAGTTGTTTTTTCTTTCGATCCTACCAAATCATTCTGCATGGTCATGATCAATGTCAATTTTCTAGGGTTTAATTAATTTAGGAGCAACGCAATACAACATCAGTTATATAATCTATCCAAAAGGTCCAGTGACCAATTGCAAAGGCATGACTGAGCATACCGTAGCTTCAACTCATCAACTGTAATATACGACGATATTCTTTCCGTCATTGCCATGTATGACAGAAATGATCTAACGGCGGACCAAAACTAGGTATTATTAGGTGTTACGTTAATAACAATTGAGAGCTTCCTTTTCTACGTAGCCTACGTATGCATGCATGCAAATATTTACTATACGTTTATGAAATGTTTTAAAAATTATAGTTATACTTACGAGTTCAAGCTTTCTTATTAATTTCTATGAGTATCGATCAGTTTCAAGAAGACAAGTTATTAGATATGTTGCCACTTTTATCAGAAAGGACAGATGTATTGTACTGAAGCGCCCAATATAAACCGGACGCTCATATAGCAAGTATATGAAATATATATTCAGTCAATTGGGCTTTCCCAACTATTTGTCAGATGATGATGATAGTTTGGGTGCAGTTTCCTGTGGAGTGTATCCGCACCTAATATTAATTGTGAGTATGTCATCGCGGGCATTCTTGGAAACCTGGATCGGACTCGAAGAAAATCCGGACGCGAGAAAAACCCGGACCCCGACTCGAACAAACCCGGACTCGTGTTTAAAAAAACCCGAACTTGACTTTTGAAAACCCGGACTCAAAATAGAAAAAACGGATTTAAAACAAGGACTCTGTGTACGAGAATGCAAAGGTTTTTTGGAAAGCTTTAATAATAGTCAATACGATAAACATCATTAACATGATCTCTTTATAACAAGCTGACAACATATCGATAAATTGCCCATATAAGTACACTGTAAAATCAAATAAGTTAAAACAACCCAAAATAATAGGTCACAAGTTGAATCTGTGGTAACTATATTTTTATTGGTTAATACTACATTAATTAATGGTTACATTGACCCATTTTTTCAAGGTTATAATAACGTTTAA